AGAAGACAGAGCACAAAGGCACTGGATCCAAAATCAGGTCTTTAATAACTCAATGCACTGAAGTAAATCTCATCACAACGCTGTCATCGCTTTGTCAATTTCTCATTTCAAATGTCCAAAAATAATAATATTTCAATGATTGTTTTCAAGCTGTAATAGAATTAGCAATCTATATTATGCATTCACGCACGCACAGTCCAGAACACTGTTACTCCAAAGGGATTTTGTTTTGTCTTAACAATGCACTTGACAACTTTTAAACTACACAAGCCACTCCTGTCAGATTTATTCCAACCCTGAGCTCTGGCTTGTCTTCACTGTGACTTTGGAGCAGTCACAAGAGGCCTGCCATTGAATAAACATGGTAGTAACTTTGCCCTGACGCTCTATAAGCTGCTGCTCTTTAGTTGTGACTTATCTGTTTATCACCTTCTCCTCAGTCGTCAGGAATGCGCTGCTAGCACATAAACATCGACCCTTTGCCAGACAGAGTCTCGCAATGTTTTCGGTTAGAGTGCCTTTTATAAAAGAGTTGAACAAGTTGAGCCGGTATGGTAGCACGAAACCTCTCGCCACAAACACTGAAACGCAATCTAAAGGTGCTACTGTCTTTAAAAAGGAGACTCAAGTTGTAAAAGTTGGGACGGAGCGTGGTGTCCTGCATAGATCTAAAGGGCGGCATTGCAAATAGAAAATAGAAAAACTGTTTAACCAGCAGTCAGTCTGGCAGTTTGCTGTAAAGGGGGGGGGGGGGGGGAAAAAGTGCAATGCAGCTGAGCGTAACACCTAAACCTGACATGCAGACACGTAAATGGTGTTGCTGTAATACATTCTCAGAATTACTGCTGCTGTGGTTTGAGGACTAAATCTGAGTGCTGTGCCGCAAGCTGTTACCCCCACCGTCCACTGCACATCCAGCAAAGATGCCGTTGATAGCCAAATGGCATCTTCACCAGGGGGAATGTTTTGGCATGCATAGCTGGGCAGATTTGCACTGACAAATTCCCTGTTATAAACCAATCCAGGTCCTCAAGGGAGAAGAGCAAGGATATACAGAAGTGTGGGTGGCCGCAAGAGACGGAGGGTGGTGTGCAGGAGGTCAACCGAGGTCAGTGGACGTCCCGCTGATGGCACGGAACACATGGAGGGAGTTCTGTAGTAGCGATCGCATCATATCCTCCGGGTATATCTGGGGTCGAAGCAAAACAGAAGCACAATCAGTGTCAGACACACACTTTGAGTACTGTGAGTTCGTGTTCTTCACATGCAAGCTGAGTGCACACTAAAGCTGGACTTTATAGTACTGCACAGTGGCCTACACCACAGTGGGTGATGGTGCACCTGCATCGCCCTGCCCTCACCACAGACTAAGATCAGAATTTTGGCCATAATCTTCAACAGTGGGGAACATTTCAGAATGTACTGAGTCGATGCGCAGACTGTGAGAGATGTGAAAATGGCGTAAGTCTGCACTGGCAGAATAATGGCTTAATGGCACTGTGAGCAAGCTGGATACATTTACTGGATAAAACATTGTGTTTAACGGATGCATTATTCTATGGTTGATCAATTAACTGTGTTTATGAAGCATATTAATTCCAAGCAGCAGAAACACAGTTTTTGTGTACTGTGTTGCCACAAAGTGCAGATAGTTTTCTGAGAAGGTCATGCAAGGCAAGGCAAGGCATTTCATTTATATGGAACCAAACACTACAGTCATTCAAGGTGCTTTACAAGAAAAATGAAAAACAAAAATAACATTTT